CTTGGATGTGCTGGTAGTGTAATGGATAACGGCTGGGAATTGTTAATCATAGAGCCGATTTTAAATTTCCGTTTATATTCACTTAGGCGCAAATACCCTTGGAAAATTCACCTCTTATCTCCCCAGATATGGGTTAATTAGTAGGACTTGTTTCCCTAAACTATTATTATATAAAAAAAAAATCTTACAATTCAAAAATGTTTTCTGGTTTCAAATAACCTGTAAAGGGTTGATAGTCTGTAAAAAACGAATCAATTAGAATATTATTTATAGGATGTTCTGATAGAAAATACGTTATCATTTTAAAAATACAAAAAAAAAAAAATTTAAACTATCGTTATTTTTTGAAAAATCAGAATCATCCCAAGCCAAACAGTAAAGTGACTAAAAAACAAGGAGTTACCCAAAGCAAGGCAATAAATCCGCTAAGACACAAGGCGTTACTGGGTATGGAAGAATTAGGAAACAGAAGCATCACTAAAGAGCAAGAATCACTAAAGGTCAGAATCAATAATATTGCTGATTCGTCTTTGGATTTTATCAAGAATTTTTAAATATATAGCAGAAGCACCAGACCATATGTGGCAGCAAGATTCGAGTAATGGGCGAATGGTAGACTTATAAATATGTAACATCGATTCAGGAAAGAAAAATTGTCTAGCACAAACCATTGAACCAACTTTCTTAGTAGCGGTGTTAAAGAAAATTCCTGTTGGTAAAACATTACCGAAAAAGACTGGAAAAAGATTTAGTTAAACTTATGACTATTAATTTTCTTATGACACTAATTTGGGATATAAACTTATTATTCTTTTGTTTACAATTATTCAAAATGAAATATTTAGGTTTATCTATATATCAACATAAGTATGGTGATTGTATAAGAGTAGTTCAAATGTGACACAAAACTGATTGAAAGTAAGAGATACAGCGGAAAACAACGCACAGCCTATCTGGCGAGCTTGAGTGGCTGGCGGAACAAGGTATAGAAGAGATGGCAAAAAGACAAAATCTGTTATGCGCTACATGAAATATCTTAAGAATATCTTTGAGTCCCGAAACTAATCCACTTGAAAATACATGTCAAAGCAAGAAAATCAAGCAAGCTGCAACAACTTCAAGAATAGGGACAGGAAGTGTGATAAAAAATTTCCTGTAGATTTTGGTATACGTTTACCGAAAAAGAATGGGAAAGGATTTAGTTAAATTTATTGTTTTTCGCATAAAAAGATGTACATATGACAAATTTTCTTGTGCCACTAATTTGGGAAATACAATTATTATTCTTTTGTTTACAATTATTCAAAATTAAATATTTATGTTTATCTATATATCAACATTACTATGGTGATTGTATTAGCGTAGCTCAAATGTGACACAAAACAGGAAATATAGGGCAAACAGTGAGGATCGAACTCGCTAATCGGCTGTGATTTTCTAGCTAACGATTACACCACTTCGAGGTGGAGTCAATACCTCAGGTCAGGGTCACCAATATTTCTGATTCTTCGACTTTTTCCAAGAATCTCTAAATATACAACAGGAACACCGGACCATATGTGGCAGCAATATTCAAAGCCTGGACGAATGGTAGACTTATAAATATATAAGATAGATTCAGGAGAGAAAAATTGTCTAAGACGGCACAGTGGACCAACTTTCTTAGCAGCCGACCTAGCAATGGATTCAGTATACTCTTTCGACTTTCAAGTCAGCCGAGGACGTAAGCCTAAGAAAGTGTAATGAGTTAATCTCCTGGAGGTTAGCATTAGTCATGTTGATGGAAAGTAGAAAGGTGTCGCTAAGTCGGGCATGATAATAATGAAAAATTCTAATCTCAGAATTCAAACTTAGAATCTTTAAGGAAGATTGTAATTTTCTTTATTGACTCTAGTATTTCGATGCATAGATTCGTAACAGTACGGTTTTGGTAAAGCAACATCAGCTCTCCCTTTTTTAACACAGGCATATTTAGTTTACTTCTTACGTGACTCTTTCATATACGATCGCAGATGTTTATGTTCGTGTCAAACCGCTCAACAAATCGGTTCCAAGTCAACACTTCTAGGCCGTTATGCAAAACACATGCAGGAAATGACGCGCGCATGCGCCTTGATCTATGTGCATCGCCTTCTACGCATGAACATTCTCGTTCGTTCACGCCCATTGGAATGTTATTTGTCAACACGTAAAAATGTTCCGTAGTTCCTTCGTTAAAAAAAAAAAAAGAACTCTTGAAATCTGGTTATAAATATTTTGATACTATTGTCCACTCAAGCACAAGAACAACTCAAGGTAGAGCATTAGTGAAATAATCTGTACGTAAAGAGTGGAAGTAAGAAGCGTCTATTATGAGAATATGTAGAATATATAGACCCTAAACTTTTAGGTTGTAGTAAACGTGGAAACGTTTTTTTGGGAGCCTATTCCACAAAGAAACATTTCTAGCGAAGACATTGCGTGAAATTTCCTTTTGCCCAGCGTCATACATATGGAATGAGTACGCCCTGTGTACTCGGCATGTCCTAGCTGTGAAGTCATTTTATTTAGCGGCATATCAACACCTTTATGGGTCACTTATTGCCGAAATGTAAATATTTTCTAGGCAATTTTATAGCTTCATCTATATACAGGGTGCAATGGATAAATTGTCGCCATTTTATATTTCTAATTTGGCGCATGCGCGTTTTTTTTAATTTTATTTTGTCGACTATACAGTAGAGTAGGGTTACTTGGTCACCGTCCGTAAGAAAAAAGTACCATGACGCAATTCACTCGAACAGAAATTTGGAAACGGCATGGTTTATGGCTTGGCATTCCCACCGGAAGCTCCAATACAAATATTTCAAATTATTTGGGTGTCAATCCGAGGACAGCGCAGAGGATTCGGAAAGAATTGGATGAGTCTAATGATATATGTCTATATTTCTGAGATGAGGTATTATGTACACTATTTACATTGCTCGGACACATGGCACAGAGGATAAAGGCGTTAGTTAGATCCAGTTACAGAACCCAAAGAGTGTGAGTTCAGTACCCGGTTAAGGCAGTGGAGAACTTTCAGAGGGAAATTAACAGGAGATAACTGATAACTGACATCCATTAAACATGGCACGTTGAACTGGAAGAGTCTACCCCAGTAAGCGAAATAAAGAGTTCAGTTCGACATTCCAACCACCTGAAGAAGGCCGGAGCGTACAACGGCCGAAACGTTGTAATAAATATGGCGGCAAATATGAGGACAATAGTCCGAATAATGTAAATAATGTCCTGCCTTTGTCATTATACAATTTTCCCAACTGCCCAATCTCACCCTCTTTAGTTTGGATTCCGTCTTTGTGATGCAAATTTTGCCAAGAGAATATGCCAGTTACCAAGATACCTGATTTTTGGACAGACAGAACTTGATTAATGATTTCCTAAAGTCAATAATGTAAAGTTCAGCTAGAAACAACCTCAAACCAAGTCGATACGGTGATCTTCTCTTCTCCGCCGCGAAGCATTGCCCCACTATTGATCTCATTCAAATAACATCATTAGCGTTCTATAAGTGATGAACAGGTTTTATGATAAACTCTTATATCCGTACATTATATTATCATTATTATTATTATTTACTTTGATTTCTGGCGTGTACACATTTCTTTCCGGGTCCCGCCCAAAGATCTAAGGTTAGAAATGACATCATGACACTTTCCACTGCCAAAAAAAAAAAAAAAAATATATATTTTATATAGATAAAGCCCTTCGTAAAGTGTGGACTTTACTTGTGAGAACAATTTTTTGTATCTCTTTGAGGTATGGACTTCCAGGAATCCCTTCAATTAGTCTACTGGAATCTTTTCCAACCAATCCTAGTGTTCCAGCTACAACAGGGATTGTTGATGTTCCTATATGCCACATTTTTGAGATTTCGATTTCAAGATCCTTGTATTTTGACAGCTTTTTGAATATCTGCAAAGATACATTGCAGTCAGCAGGGACTGCCATATCAATAAGGAGGCATTTTTGGTTTGTGGTCATTAATGACAATGTCTGGGCGGTTGGCTTTGATTGTTCTGTCAGTGTGTATTGTGTAGTCCCATAGAATTGTAACAGGTCCTATCTCCGTAACCGGGTCTGGGTGGTGTTCATACCAGTTTCTTTCAGTTTCCTTCCCGTAGAAGTTGCAGATTTTCCAGTGCAGATATTGGGCCACTCTATCGTGCGATTATTATTATTATTATTATTATTATTATTATTATTATTACTACTACTACTTTTTAACTCCTTTAATCTCTGATGTATAATCATTTTCTTTCCGGGTCCCAACCAGAGACCTAAAGGCAGAAATGGCATCATGACATTTTCAATGAACATTTTTAACCTAAGAGCACACACTTTTTACATAGATAAAGCTCTTCGTAAGGAGTGAGCTGTATTTGTGAGTACAATTTTTTTTGTATTTCTTCAACCCATTACCTGCCATGAGCCCCGTTTTGGGATCTGTTAAAATTAAACTCACTACATGTTATTCCTTGTATTTACATTGAATTACTTACATACATTGCATTTGCAGAGGTCTATTTTACAACACTTAGCATTTAAAGTTTTTATTATTAGCCGGAAGAAGACACTTTCTGTCGTAATTTTACATTTCATGAGTAGAAAAATAATGACTATTTTGAAAAGTATTTTTTTTTTATTATTTCTAATCAATATTATTTTTTGATGCTTTATACACATATATATTTGATCTTCTATTTTCTATAAAAACGTCAATGGTAACTACTGAAATTAAACATAAGGAATAAATAAACTCCTAAGACACCTGTCTGGGCCAAAAATGCGCATTAAAAAAAAATTGGCAGTTAATGGGTTAAGGCATGGGTTACCAGGAATCCCTTCAATGAGTCTATCGAAACATTTTCCAATCAAAAGCAGGACCCCAACTTGAATAATTTGTGCCACATTTTTTATATTTCCACTTCAAGATCCTTGTATTTTTATAATTTTTGATG